ATTACATTTGAAATATCCATTTAGGTTGGCACTGGCTTTTGTCTTCTTTTATTTTATTCTATCCTTCATTCTAAGGTCTCGGCTCAGAAGACTCTCATTAGCAGGGTTCTTTTAGCCTAGACTTTAGCGCGACCACACGGTCCCTGGTGACCCTACGTTCAAGGTGACTTGCACGCGTGGGCTTGGCTTTGGTCTGCGCCGTTGCTTTGACATTTGTTTGACACTGGAACATTGTTTCTTTCTCAGGCTCGCAGGAGGAGGGGACGCAAACAGCGCGCTTCGGCGCAGCAGATCCTGTGGCAAGCAAAACGCTGCAACCGGCCACGGAGAGAAGGACCTTTTCTTAACCAGGAGACTACAAAGCTACCACAGTTGGGACCGAGGATTCTGATTCCGTAGTTCTGCAAGCATTGCAACATCCGCATACCCGACGCAGTGTGGTTTTGTGGGCAACGCGGCACTGCATGGTCCGCGAAAGGTCGTGGCAAAAGGCAGGGGAAGAGTCGCTCGCAATCTGCGCGGGGGGCCAAAAGAGCAAGGACCCTTCACGCAGCAGCCAAGAACATCGAAGGTTGCAAAAGCTGCAGAATCCGAAACTTATTGGGTCGGATCTACTCCGACGACCAGATTGCCGGCAGCCAGAGAAGCCTCCGGAACCTCGACTTCCAGCGCCGCCAGGAAGTGGGGAAACAAAAGGAGGCGAGGGCGGAGCAACTGTTATGTTGCACCTAGAAGCCATCAAGGCACACTATGGTGCAGCCACAAGCAATTTGCAAGTGTCGATCCAGCAGTTGGAGTCCAAAGGAGAAGAATCACCTTGTCTGACGCATGGGCATTTAAATCGCCTCGGAAAGGCGCAGAAAGGCTTCGACCAGGCCAAAAAGAAGCTTCGAGATGTTGACGAAGACTGGAAGAGTCGAGTTTCGTGGCCTCAAACCCAGAAGATTGGTGGCGGAAGCAAGTGCCAACCTTTCCCTGCAACGAGAAAAGGTCAAGCAGACGGTAGCCTCCATGCGATCAGATGTAACCGCGTGGAGGAAGATGGCGATCCCATGCCCATCGATGAAAGAAATGAAAATGATGCTTGGAGAGCGCGAAGCTTACGATTTGACGACAGGCAACCACGACCACGAAGAAGAGGACGAAGGAGCTATGGACGAAGAAGAGGACCTCGAGGCCTTTCCAGAGGCGAGCGCTCCCAAGAAAACTCGTGGAACAGCATTCCTCACGCCCACGCTGCATACACCGGTAGAGGGTGTTTGCGCGCCGGCGAAAAACTTATACAATCGTGGTTGCAAAGCATGTTTTTTGCGCAGCCGGGGAACAAGCAGTTGCGCGTAGCAGGATGTTTCTGTGCTGTTGCACTTGTGGCCAGGTATAACTTGCATTCAAGACATTGTACCCTCGTTGCCACCCGCGCAAGAGAATGGAAGCTTGTCTTGATGAAGCAAGTAGGAAAGATTTTCTGTTCCCATTGTCTGGGGGTTTGCTGTGCATCCAGGGTTTTGGCAAAAGTGCTGCAACAACCCTTTTGATCACCACGCTTGAAAAACACGGCCGCAGTGCTTGCTTTAAATAGCCAGCTGTTGATCACCATGCTTGAACGCATGGCGCACAGTGCTTGCTTGAAGTAGCCAGCTGTAAATTAGCAACTTCGACAAAAATTAGCAATTTCGACAGTCGCTCGAGAAACAAGCTCTTGAACAGTTGCTAAGACCTGGGACTATCGCAAAGCTGCACATGTCTCGTAAGACTGATAGTAGGCTGAATGCAAGAGGGTCTTATCACTGTGTTGATTGTCGCAAGCTAATTTTCGGCACTGCCACAGCAGGAGTCCATCGGCGCAGACAACATGGTGTGTGTTCGCCGCAATACTACTTTGCAAAAGGCGAAGTTTGTCCAGTTTGCTTCAAGTCTTTTGGGAATAGCGAGGCGCTGCAACAACCCCTTGAATATCGCAATGGCAGATGCTGGGGATATCCTTGTGGCCAGTGACCTCACTCTGGAGGAATTCCAGGGAGAACGAATACACAGGAGCGTGGAACAACTACCGCTTGCGGGGTATGCGGTGTGCAGGGCGGAAGCGGGCCACCCTTCGCCTGCAACGTTCGGTCCTGCCAAGCGCCCAAGCACCACAGATGACCTGGAAAAGGCTGCGGTGCAATATATGCTCAGTCTTTTTCCCGATAGAGCAATCAGTCGCAGATTTCCTTTTTTGCGCGCAGCAAGTCATTCCGTTTCTGTTGAGAACCTTAAGGAATACCTGGCAGATAACGGCTTGACAGGATTGACGCATGAGGTGGCCAGTTGTGATGTTGCAGAGGAAGGCCAGTTGCGCGTCCTACGTACTTGTGAGGTGATGCAGTGTGTCTTGCAAGATGTAGGCCCTCTTCTTTGGCATGACACCCTCTTCGTAGCATACATTCTCGACCAAAGAATGTTTCGGTTGGCACTGAACGCAAGACGACCCAACAGGTCTAAATCCGTCCTACACCTGTTCACTGGCAGGAGGAGGAATTTCAGTACGACCAAGATTGGATTGAGGATTTGGCTAAGCATTGCGCTGACGACATCATTTGTTTGTCAATGAGTTGGAGTTTCGCCTGCGCCAAAATCAATCGGGTGACCGTTGCGTTGGCCGATCTATAGGGAGAGAGGCAGACGGTTCCTTCGCAACGGCAGACCTGAAGGAGTATACCCATCAAATCGCCGTTGTGCAGAGTGAACGCGTGCGTGGCCGAGACTCCGCTGTGCACAGGTTCCCCAGGGACCCCTATACGTCCTTTCGCCCATGTGCGCTGACTTTGCACGCTCGTCGAAAGACATTCCGGTCGCTTGGACCATTGAGTGAGGTCTCACCCCTCCCCAAAGCAGCTACAAGGTTTTGTTTGCGAGCAAAAATAGCCTTCATTCTATCCGTGTTTGAGTCGGTCTAGACCCACTTCAGGTACTCTTGTTTGTGATGACTTCTGTCGTGGCCTTCTGCTCGGACCTCTTGGCTGGAGTCTCGGGATACGCTTTCGCGCAAAGGCTGCACCGTTCCGCAAGATGTGAAGAGGGTTTCTGCCGTTCACGTTTCCCATCGTTTCCCCGTTTCCCTGTTTTTGACGGTGTCGTGTTCACATGGCGTTGCCTCCGCATCACAACCTTCCGCAACCGTTTGCAAGCGGGCGCAGCCTGAATCTGCGGCCGTCCCGCGGGAATCACGTGGTTGAAAAGAATGATGGCGCGCGCAACTACAAAAGTCCAACGCGTTGGATCAGGCGCTTGAGACCGCTTTGCTTGGCGCGCAAGTGCAAATTATGCTCTGCTGTGAAACTTGGCCGATCCATACGTGTTGAATATGACTGCCACTACTTGGATGTTATTTGGGGTTGCCACTGGTTTAGCTGACTTAACGTAGTTATTAACCACTTAGCTAACCATTTGCTAAGTGCTCAGCTGGGCACTTACGTGAGCCATCGATAAGTGATATACAAAGTAGATAGCAAAGATTTAGTCTCAACCTGTTGAACAATTAGCACACTTAGCCAGGAGATGCTGAGTACTTTGCTATCCACTCATAATCAATATCATAGGGGCATTGTCTGAAACAAACATGCTACCAACAGAACTTAAACCCTGAACCCTAAAACTTCAAAATATAGTTCAATCATATATAGCTGAAAAATATCAAAGCATACACAAATCATAACTTTTGCAGAACATGTGTTTTTGTATATTTCATAGATGTAGCTTCAGACTGCTGTCAGACCCCTTTTTGTTGCATGTTGTGCCTCATGTACAGAGGAACCAAAGAAGTCAGAACTCCTTTGGTCTCATCGGCTGTGAGATCAAAGCTGCTTCCACCAAAAAGCTGTCATCAGTTTTTGCCCAATTTGCTGAGCAGGTACCTGCCTTGTAGGATTGAAAAGCCCATACTGAAACCGAACTCCGAAATTTCCCCACCAACTTCGCAACAAACACCCGTCAGCGCTCCTGCCTCATAGTTTTTCAGACTTGAAGTTGCCTTCGCAAAATTCTTTACAGCTTTATGCTTCCTTTCCAAACAGAAGGAGGAAGGCAAACGCTTCAGGTACTCCAGCTCTGCAGGCAAATGCGCTAGCCAATGGAACTTGCTATGAAAAGAGTCAACCCATTGGGCGTGAAGAAGCTTGAAATGGCATACGCGCCAAGAATTTTACTAGCTGCTGCTCTGAATGTATTTGCTTCCTGGTTGGATTTCTTTCTCTTCTCGCTAAACAAGCTGTGGAGCTGCAGCTTCAAAGCTTTGGGGAAAGTCCACTTCTGCAGGTAGTTGCAAGAAGTATCATGCGCATCAAACTCCTTAGACTCCTGCAAAGTCTTCAGAAGAAGGGTCAACATGGGAGCCATGATGCCATTAGCCAGGATTGCACGCATCCGGTCATGCGCAAAGTTGTTGGCCGGGTTCAACACACGTTGCAAGTCTGGGTCTAGCAGCAAAGACTTCTCCTGGTAGACAAAGCCACAGGCCCAACCCTTAAAAGCTTCAGCTGTGTATTCCAGTTTCTTCCTTTGAAGCCTAGCTATAGAGCTTTTGATGTCCTGGTTGGAAGCAAATTTAAGATCCTGGGCTTTTTGCATGGAGAAAATCGGAAACTCTTCGCCGTCCTACATGTTCAGTGAGTTCTTGGCAAAGAGATTCTTACACAGGATACAATATCGAGATCCTGCTTCCCTTCATTCTCCACGCATACTTGTTGGCTGCCCCATCCTGGAGCATTCCTCCAAAACTGATGAACAGCTTTTGATGCTGACCATCAGGGCCCTTCAAAGTCAAACCAGCAGATGGATTGAAGTCTCTCAAAAAATCGTCTTCAATTTTGCTGAAAAATTTGGGAGACTCCAAGTTGAAGCTTGCTGACCAGGCTGCTTCTGCAGATACACAAGCATTGCCATGCTAACTCTTTCTGCAAATTCTGCGCCACGCTCTTTTTTCCATGGCTTCTTTGCAAATTTCTCAGCGTGAAACCCACAGAAAGTATTGCGCATGCAAACCTGAGCCAGTCTTATACATATATGACATTATGAGCAAGTAATTTGCTGGCAGGGAGATCCGCCTATAGCGGGCTGCTCCGCGCGCGACGCCTAAAGAACGTATAGGTAGCGGAGTAGATCTTAAGACTACCTTCCACAGCGCGCGCCAGTTGCGCTGAAAAACGGAGTATTCAGCGAATTAAGGTTGACCCTCCAGATGGGCGCCCTTTGAGGTCACCCTGGCTAGTCCCTTTTTGCATGTGTGAAATTGCTTTGATCATAGTTAAGCGTATTTTAATTCTAGAATTATCACAAATAAGATGTAAGATTATTAGGAGTTATTCAAATAAGAGTAGCAGTGACACAAATAAGATTAGAAACGATTTTGAACAAAACTCCACAACAAGTAAAAGTATGAGTGAGTCAAAAGTGTTTTCACGAGTAAGTCCCCGAGTGGAGCCATGAGTGAAGTTGCAGTGAACTTGCAAAAACAATAAAAGTTCAACATTTCCTTTTATGATAGGGTCACAAGTCGAGCGACAAGTCAACTTTCAAAACACAAGGAAAGGAGAACTAAGTACATCGGTTCCTTTACGACAATCGCTCCTGGCCTCGTTGAATTTTGTTGAAACTAGTAAGTTTTGGCTGAAGGGCTCTTTGCTGGCAGGGGTTGTGACAGAGTAAGGCTTTTACAACTAGTCAAGTATTGGCTGAAGGCATTGAAAAAGTATTTTTGCAAGTAGTCAAGTGTCAACTGTGCTGGTAGAGATTGTAAGGTCATTGAATAGTAACTGGTAATTAAACTCAATAAGATGTTTGAATCTAGCCAAGTCTTTGAAGGGCACTGTGCTGATTGGAATCGTGCCAAGTAAGTGTTTTGAAACTTTAACTAGAGAGGTTTTGGCCGAAGAGTACTGCGCTGGCAGGGATTCCAACCCTTGCCAACAACATCAAACTGAGTCCCACACGCAGTAGGGCACAACTTTTAGTCTAGGTTAAACTTGAACAATACGCGACAAGACATTCAGCTCAATCAGCGTCAACTTCATTCAAACAAGTCATGGTCATCCATTGTTGATCTTCATGATGATTCACCTGGCTGGCACGTACGAAGTGCAATGCTATTCATTTTACGGTGCTGCAAGTCTGAGTCCCATGACATGGAATCACAGCAATCGAAATATGACTGACAACATCAGGCCGCAAACAACCTGTTTATCAAAATGGTCGCTCACAAATAAATATGCCAACTTGCCCAACAACTTTTGGCGGGCGCCATGTGAACAACCTGTATCATAATTAATTCAACAAAGATTATAGTCGAGCGGTGACAAGTCGTAGTACATATCAATTTGGCTGACACATTTGGGGCGCCATGTAATGTTGCAAACTTTCAACCCGTCCTCCTCATGCTTGCGTTGACCTGTGACATGGAACTTGTGCCCAGTCTCCGTCTTAAAAGCAACGCCACGGGCGACTGGCCGCCCAGACTCTTTCAATGCCAGGGTTTGACTCAGTGCCCCAATGTGATGATGACACACCGGAATCATCGGAGTTCCAACAAATGCAGCTTTCAGAGTCATCATCGTCATCATCATCGTCATCGTCAGACAACTGCACTTGGCCAACAGCGCTGGGTTCATCAAACAAGCCTTCATTGTTAACAATGTTGGTGGAACAGGAATTGAAGATGTGAATCACCACCATGATGATTGCAAAAGCAACGCTAAATGTCACCATGATTGCCATGGCTTCCATCATAAACAGCAAGTTTGATTGGACTAGTTTGAACGCTCAACTTGGCTGCTAAGGTCAAAATTACCATCAAAACGTACACCTTGCAAAAGGATAAGCCAAACAGTGCAGCAGCTCAGCACATACTAAGGACAAGTTTGAACGCTCAACTTGACAGCTAAGATCAAAATATCATCAAAACGTTTGCCTTGCAAAAGGACAAGTCAAACGCGAATCTTTTAAGCGCAGTGCAGCAGCTCAGTTCATACATTTTTCACTTACAGCCACATATTTGCAGATCCAATCCAACACGCCCTTCTCGTCAATCTTTGTGGACGATCCCTTTTAGGGCGCGCGTGTTGCCCATTCACCCGAACTCATCATGGAACCACATTCTCAAGAAAATCATTGAAATAGAGAAACACATCAGTACCTCAAAGACAATTTGCTTGTGAAGCCAAGGCACCTCCAACTTCCTTTGCATGGACACTGAAATAGGAAGTTGCTTTGTCTTGGGAACCAAGGCTTGGATCCTTTTTGAACTGACCAACATCTTTGCAACGTTCTTCACATGTCACTGTATCCCATGGAATGACTCCTTTCCTTGATTGAAATGGCCCACGGTTGCTGCGGGCCATTGTTATTGCTTCAGTCTTTGGCCTTGCTTCCTTCAGCTCGGGAGACTCGCTGCTGAGCTTTGCAGCGGGTCTTTGAGTTGATGATGATGCGTGCCAATCAGGCTCTTCAAAACTAAGAAGTTCACGCAAAGAAGTACATCATCATCAATTTTACGACCGCTCGACTTCGTCTTACACAACTTCTGCCTTTTGGCCGGTGGTCCTTGGCCCGCAGCTGTTTGGAGTCAGGCACTGCCCCCTTCTGTTCATCAGCAGCAGGCACAGTGCCCTCTGACTCCGAAGGCGCAGTGCTCTCCGGCATAGGCTCTTCATCAGCAGGCGCAGTGCCCTCCAGCAAAAGCTGATCAGGAGCAGGCGCAGTGCCCTCCAGCAAAGCTCTTCATGAGGCACAGTGCGCTCCAGCAAAGGCTGATGAGCAGCACGCCGCCTTCCAGCAAAGGCTCATCAGCAGCAGTCACAGTGCCCTCCAGCAAAGGCTGATCAGGAGTGAATGGGAGATCGGCAGGCACTGTGCTGGGCTCAGCAGCAGGTGCTTGCGCTGCAGGGGCAACTTGCAAGTCACAATCAACTGCAAGTCGTCTGGCTCTTCTGCAAATCTTTGTGCCACTGAGCATCTTGTTTTGGCCAT